ACTCTTTTTTTCTTTGTGGATTGTTCATCTACATCGAACCACCTCACAGTGCAGAACACACAGAACGTATACACGCCCAGACAAGTAACACATACGCCATATTGTACAATTATATAACGATACATATCGTGGGAACAGCATTCCAATATCGACACACCGACAACACGTATATCGTAGTAACTTGTCTTTGGCCTTCACAACCGGGCTTACTACGTAGAAAGCTTCTACAACAAAGACCTACAAACAAACAACAACCTATTTTTTCTACACTGTAGCAGTGACACCTTAAATATTTAAGTTGGCCTACAAATTCTTAACGGAACATCGGAAAACTTTAATATTTTTATAAATATTTTTCATATACTTTTAACATTTTTATAAATGTATTCTACACATTATAAATTTTGATATGTGACACTTCTTTATATTTATCTTTTATCTTATTTATATATTTGCTACTTTATTATAACATCAACTTGGGGCAAAGATTTATGTTAGTATATAATACGACGGCAAGTCACGGTAGCCGAGCGGTCTTAGGCATGTACTGTCTTCGCTCGCTAGGAAACCAGGAGCGTGGGTTCGAATCCCAGTCACGGCATGGATGTATAGTTTGTGTGTTTGCGATTTTCTGTGTTTGTATACAGGTAAAGACCTTGCGAGGAGCTGATCACCCGCCCAAGGAGTCCTACCGAATGTGTAAGCTCTAGAAAAACCGAAGTGAACGGAGAAGTTCATGGAGGTAGGCCTAGGCCCACTGGGGCTGTAGTTCCAAGGAAAAAAAAATACTTAATACGACGCGTTGCACCGATAAGGATCCATATCGGTATTCCAATGACTGTACGTATTCCTGTGTGTAACTGCCTGATGATGGTCTTACACGACCGAAACATGTAGCAGCAATACAAATCGAAATTAAAACTGAGTTTTGTTGTGTTGACGGTAGACATAATTACTATATATATATATGTGCCGGTCACGGTACCCGAGCGGTCTAAGGCGTGCACTGTCTTCGCTCGCTCGGAAGCCGGGATCGTGGGTTCGAATCTCACTCATGGCATGGATGTTTTTGTTCGTTTTTCTGTGTTTGTGTACAGGTAGAGGCCTTGCGACGAGCTGATCACCTTCCCAAGGAGTCCTACCGTATGTCTAAGATCTAGAAAAGCCGAAGTGAACGGAGAAGTTCATGGAGGTAGGCCTAGGCCCACTGGGGCTGTAGTGGAAGGAAAAAAAAATATATACATACGTATATATGTGAAACATACATCAGGATGCAACCAATGAAGGTGAATTTATAGTGTATTTCCAGTTTAATCACACAAAAGATAGCAACTTAACTGAAAGGGCTACCCATTACTTACTGACAGTACCAAAACTTTTAGCGGGATTCGCAGAAGGCCTTAATGGAAAAAAAAAGAAATGTAACTATTATATTTAGGCCTATATGTGGGATACATCGATTGCAGGTAAAAATGGGCCTTAGTATCTTAGAATGACCATAGAATTTCGATAAGAGCATGATATTAGGCACAATCAACTTCAATCGTCTACACTCCACAGTAATATGAGCGAATGTAATTTTGTATAAACCCTCATGTTCGTTGACGTCAAACAATTCACAGCACGAAGAGTGCTAGTTCAACAAAACACGAGAGTGAATAATTATAGACCCAGTACCAACATCTCTACATATATGATTTCATGCAGGATCTAATGTAAATACGTTTGGCACCTTTAATAATTTCGATCCAAGCTGACACGAGAAAAAGAAACACGTTTGTGTTTCTTGCTTCTTTGAAATTGTCAAAGACAAAAATAATCCGTTAATATGCCTAACAATCCATGAGACCATGCGATGAACGTGGGGGGGGGGCACAACTTCACACAAGCTTACTGTAGGCACTCGATACTGAGAGCTTCATTTGCCTCTCGGATTTTTATGCAGATAATAAAGTACAAAAACGTAAATTACACGTGTTCAACAATAAAACGTAAGCTGTTGGATAAATGAACACTAGACACAATTTGATATTCTAAAAAAGAAAAAGCAATACGGTAGCGTACAAAACTGATAATGCGGGTAGGAAATCTGACCTGTAACAACGGGAAATAAAAGCATATTACTTGCAGCCGAGCCCCACCGTTAGGCCAACCAAAAGGAACGGGGTGCGCGCCATAGATATTAGCAAGCAATTAATCACCTGCAGTGTAAACGACAAGATCAATACGAGCAGGAAGTTAGTTCACGTACATACAGAGTGCGCGCGAAGTCCTGTAACCCATTTCTATTCTTCTCTGAATGAAGCAATTTTTCATGTGAATCTCTCATTTATTGAAGTCTAAAAGAAAAGAAACGCTTACATCTGCTCCGTAGCACCTTCCCTTCAGGTTTCTCCTACTAAACTGGGTGCATCATTCATCTCATCCGTGCGTGCTTCATGTCCTGATCATCATATTCGTCTTGACCGAACCACTCCATTAACACTTAGTGAAGAATTGAAACTATGAAGTTTCGTTGTTAGCATTTTTCTCTGTTCTAATATTATTATATTTTTCTTATGTCCAAATATGATACTCAGGTTTACTGAACGAATTTACTCACACGGGAAAGTCTTTGATTTATATTCTAGAGATGCCCGGTTCGAATCTCGGTCGAGACGTCGATTATGCCGACTGAAGTTTCTATGGCTTTTCCCAGTTGTCTGCAACAAACCCCTGCATAATTTCCTAAAAAACAGGCCACGATGACTTCCTTCCAAATCCTTCCCAATTCATTTTTTATTAACCAACCTACAAATCGATAATCATACTCCCATTAAATCAGTGTATCGTGAGGAAAAAAAGAGAATGAAAGTGGCATTTAGGTTATTTTACTAATTTTAGTTTCACCGAGAATATAAGTACATTTAATCTCGTTGCAGAGTTTTATGAAAAGTGTTTTGCTCTTATCGATCAGAGAGAAACAGTTCTGAAGCCGACCTCTAATGGACATGTTTATAAAATAGAACTCAGCACATCCTTTCTTGTAACACAAAGCTCTCTTCTCTTTTACTCTGTGATGTAAACTAACGTGTAGCAGAGATCACAAGAAAACTGAAACGACTACCCACAATCCAAGCCTGGAGCGCTGGCAGCATTAATAACAAATTAAGTAGCCATTATGTGTTCATAAAATTACGTTAAAAATTTTCTGCAATACATTCTTGCCTTGAGTACAGTTCAGTTTGTCACGAGTAAGGGTGTGACTATACATGGGGTTTAGATTGATGATCGGATTCATGGGACTATTTTATACAGCGTATGACTACACGTTACAATTCACTATTACACACACTCGTACGCAATACTGCCCGCAGTCACGCCTTTACTAGCCGTCGCTCAGTTGCGGCTTCCAAAGAGGGACGTTCCCCTTCCTCTGGGTTCCCGAGTTATCTCCGTGCCTCAGCTACCAAATTCTCACACCAACAGCTCACAATGAGTAAACCTCAGGAGTTCTCTGACTAACTCAGTCACTCACCAACCAAGTAACTCAACACAACTGAGTCTCACTAATTAGCTGTCCTACTTATAACACATCGGTACGGACTGCAACGAAAACACCGCCATTATACTGAACTTTACGGCTCGTTGACTAGTAATGACCTTTGTTTAATTGTTTATTTCACGGTCAAAGCCTAGCAACAGTTCAACATGTCACAATATTGTGACCAACAGGTTGCAGTTTGTAAGGTTTAAATGGTCACTTTGACAGGTTAGAATAAAGTTCTGCTTTGTGTTTTTC